CACAAGATCTTGCCTCTAGGGGCAAGGGAGAACTAGAAATGAAGATTAGTGGTAAAATGCACCTGGGTTCAAGCCCAACACACAAAACAAAAACTAATAAAGCTGGGTGCAGTGCTGCCTATCTGCAGTCCCAGCTACTTGGGAGGGTAAAACAGGAGGATTGCTTGAGCTCAGGAGTTCAAGGGCAGCCAAAGCAACTATGATGAGATCCCTATCTCCCACCCCCGCCACATACACACACACAAGTGGGCCATAGAACCAGAGATTTGGGTTTTATTTTACTCTCATCCCATTTTAGCTATGAGATTATACTCTATTTTGACATATCAAGTGAGACTAATAATCACATTTCAGGACTGTGGTTAGGATGAGGGCACCTGCACTTTACATAAAGCCAATTAACCAACTAAATTGCCTTGAAGAAATATAGACTTGGAAATAGTGAAAAACTAGGTGGGTGTCAAAAATGGTGTTAAGGTGCAGGGTACAGTGGTACAAGTAATCCCTGTGGTTTGGGAGGCTGAGGCAAGAAGATCCCAAGTTGGAGGCAAGCCTGGGCAACTTAGTGAGACCATATCTCAAAAGATAAAAAAGGGCAGGGGATATAGCTCAGTGGTAAAATGTCCTTAGGTTCAATCCCCAGTACCACCAAAAAGAAAAAGAATAACATTATGGTTTGGATCTTAAATGTCCAACCAAAGGCCATGTGTTAAAGACTTGGTTGCCAGCTTGTGGGACTATGGGGAAAAGGTGAAAGTATGGCCTAGTGGAAGGAAATTGGGTCACTGGAGCATGCACACAAAGTGGGTATTGGGACCCTGACCCCTTACTCTCTTTCTTTTGCTTCCTGCCCACCATGACGTGAAACCTTTGCTCTGCAACATGCTCCTGCTATAATGTGCTGTGCCACCATAAGGACAAGTGACCAATGGGCTGAAATGTCTGAAACTATGAACCAAAATCTTTGCTACTCATAAGTTATTTCTTCAAGTATTTTTGTCCTGTTGACAAAACTAACACAGATAGGGTTAGACTCAGGAAGGCTTTTAGTAACAAGATTGGTAAATATAAGTCAGTTGAGATCCACTATAGTTTAGCTCTTTGTTTTTTATGATGCTGGGAATCTAACCCAGGACCTGGCACATGCTAAGAGCTGCATCCTGTCCTAATATATTTATTCTTTAACCCAAATTTCAGAGTGCATATTTTTTAAAATATTTTTTAGTTACAGATGGATGCAATATCTTTATTTTGTTTGTTTATTTTTATGTGGTGCTGAGGATTGAACCCAGTGCCCCACATGTTCGAGGCAGGCACTCTGCCACTGAGCCACAACCCCAGTCCTCAGAGTGCATATTTTAACTACAGATTCTTCTTAATTTAGGAGGGGGTTACATCCCAATAAAGTTTCATAAATTAAAAATACCTGAAGTTTAAAATGCATTTAATACACAGCTACTGAACATCATTGCTTAGCATCATGGTACACTGCAGAATATCAGTTATTCAAGCTTATGACTGCCTGGCTGACTGAGGGCTATAGAGCTCTGCTATTGCTCAGCATGATGGGAGAGTATTGTATCACATACTGCTAGAGATTAAATCTGAAGTATAGTTTCTACTGAATGTGTTACCACTTCTGGATCTTCAAATGTCAAATGATTTACATTGAAAGCCAGGAACCATCTGCAGGTTAGTCAGCTTTTTATTGCTGTGACTGAAATACCTGGTAAGAACAACCTAGAGGAGGAAAAGTTATTTTGGCTTGGAATTTCAGTTGGCTGACTCCACTGCTGTCTGCCTGAGGTAAAGCAGAATATCATGGCTGAAGGGCAGGGTGGAGGAAAGCTACTCATAGCAACCAGGAAGGAGAGAGAGAGAGAGAGAGAACTCAAGGAGCCAGGGACAAAATATAATCCCCAAGGTATGCCCCCAGGCCTACTTCCTCCAGTTACATCCAACCTGCCTGCAGTTCCCACCAGTTATCCAAATTATTTATCTATCAAATGGCTTTTATCCACTGTTCAAGTTATATCTCTCATAATCTTTTAGTTATTTCACCTTCAAACATTCTTGCATTGCCTAACACACGAGTTTTTGTGGGAACATCTCATATCCAAATCATAAATGTATAGTTTCAAATATCAGAAATAAGGGATTACAAAAATATAATTTGGGGGCTGGGGATGTGGCTCAAGCAGTAGCGCGCTCGCCAGGCATGCGTGCGGCCCGGGTTCGATCCCAGTACCACATACACACAAAGATGTTGTGTCTGCCAAAAACTAAAATAAATAAATAAATAATATATAATTTGTCAGACATGCTAAGATTATTCGCCCAAATCTATAATCACAAAAAGAGTGAATTGAAGCAACTAAATAGAGTTCCTCTGTGCTCTTAAAGGAATAGGTAAGGTTAAGCCTTGTAAATCATTAGTCAGATAGGCTTCTATTGTTCCAAACTGGAAGGGAGGATGAAAATAAAATATATAATGGAAAAGGCATGAAGTACAGTAACAATTAGTAAAGTCTGATGATGTAGAAAGAGGAACATACACAATATATCAGGAAGAGCATATTAGGAGAGCTAGACTTTAGACAATGCTTAATCAACTTTTACTCATTCTTTTCTTAGTTTTAGAACCATTTCCTTAAAGAAGTCTTTGACTACCTTTCTTCCCCAAGTTTAGGGTAAGTTCTTATACACTCACAGAATTATGTTTTATTATTTTAGAACACTCATTATAATTTCTAATCGTTTAATACTAGTCTTCTCTAAGTTCTATGAAAGAGGGTCTGGTCTCGTTCAGATGTATTGCCTGATACATAGCAAGTGTTCAATAAATATTTGAATAATTTTTACAACAAAGGAGAAATTTAAAACTTTCCATCAAACTACTTAGAAATTAAGGACAATGAAAATATTACACTGACTTAAGGAACGTGGCCAAAGCTATTCTAAATTTTTCTCATTTAAATAAAAATATCTGTTACAGGATGGGGTGTGGTTCAGTGGCAGAATGCTTGCTTAGCATGGTGAGGCACTGGGTTCAATCCTTAGCATCACTTAACAAATACAGACATTCTGCTCATCTACAACAACCAAAAAAAAATTTTTTTTAAATCTATAACACTTGTAATCCTATTGTGATTCCAATGACTTATGAGGCTGAGGCAAGAGGATTGCAAATTTTGAGGCCTGCCTCAGCAACTTAGTGAGACCCTATATCAACATAAAAACCCGTTGGGGATATGGCTCAGTGGTAAAGCATCCCTGGGTTCAATCTCCCCAATACCAAAACAACAACAACAAAAAAAAAACTATTGAGTCTCCAAAAAAAATCAATGACTTGGAACAAAACCAGTAGAAGAGGCCAATGAAATATACAACATACTGGCAATGCTAATCATCGGACAAATGCAAATGCATAATAATAAAAATGATACAGGACAACAGGTGAAACAGTGTAAAATACTACATACTACTCTAAGTACATTAAAATATTTATTTGGGGTAGTGAGGGGGAGTGTGGGAGGATTAGATGAACTCTAGATAGTGCAGAAGAGTGAGAGGGGAAGGGAGAGGGTATGGTATTAGAAATGATGGTGGAATGTGTTGGACATTATTATCCAAAGTACATGTATGAAGACACGAATTGGTGTGAATATACTTTGTATACAACCAGAGATATGAAAAATGTGTGCTCTATATGTGTAATATGAATTGTAATGCATTCCGCTATCAAATATAAATAAAAAAAATAAAAAGTAGAATATTTAAGTAAAATGACAGTTTTCGAGAAAAATAAAATACAAAAACTGATTTAAAATGTGGAAGAGGGGGCTGGAGATGTGGCTCAAGCGGTAGCGCGCTCGCCTCGCATGCGTGCGGCCCGGGTTCGATCCTGAGCACCACATACCAACAAAGATGTTGTGTCCACCGAGAACTAAAAAATAAATATTAAAAAAAATTCTCTCTCTCTCCCTCTCTCCTCTCTCATTCTCTCTTTAAAAAAATTAAAAAAATAAAAAAAATAAAAAAATAAAATGTGGAAGAAACTCTCAATTGTTTATTAACCATAACTTTGGAGAAGTCAGCAAAGAACTTACCAAAGCATAAACGTCCTTCTATACATCAATCAGAAAAAGCCAAGTACCCCTAAACAAAATGAGCAGATAGAAACAGGAAATATACCAAAAGCTCATCTAATCCTATGACTACTCAAGTCACTGGAAATAAAAAGCCTGCAAATTAAAAGCACAATTTCTCACTCTTTCTTTTTATCAAATTACTGAAAAATCACTCCTAGTTTTTCACAGTAAGGAAAATCAACCGTACTGTAGCCGCATGAATATAAATTAGCACAAACATTCTAGAGACCAATTAAGTAGCATACACTCAAAGTCTAAAATCCCTTCCACCTCCAGAAACTTGGACTGGATATTTGATACTGGTTACTGTTAAGCCTCAGGAGTGAAAACAGTATTGTGGTAATACGGAGAAATGTGCCTACTTTTTAGGCTCACCTAAGTATTCAGGGGTAAAAAAGATGTGATACATGAGTAAAAATTGAAGCAAATGTGCCAAAATATTGTTATATCTACCCTGAGTATATGACAGGCCATCAAACTCTACTTTTCAGTATGTTCAGATATTTTAAGAAAAACGTTTTAAAATATGCTTTGTAGAAAAGTCAAGCGAAGACTCCAAATTGCTCACCATCCGCCTCATAGGTAATATTGGCCAACAGTATCTGCACATCCCACTCGTACCATATCTAGACAGTGGACCCACGGAAACCATCAGAAAGGGGTCCCAGTTGACCAGTCAGGGTTGGACAGGTTGGGCATATTATGCGGGACCTACAGATAGGAGCCAAAAACCAGCCGTTCCACGCGCCGAGCTCAGTGCGCCTGCGCAGTGTAGAACTGGCTGCTTACTCAGGCACAGTGGAAGCGCGGGTGCCCCGAGTCACGTGGCCATGGGCGGAGGTGGGGCGGGCCGAGGACGTGCTGCCGCGTCCTCGCTGGCTCACTGGGCGGCGGTGGAGCTTGTGTAAGTCTCTGAGGTTTCTACTGGCTCGGAATTCGACTAGTGTATGCCTGGCTGGATCGTGAGGCCGGCGTCTTCGAGGACGCGGCGTGGAGGGGAACGGCAGCCGGAGACCGGCTGGGCACCCCTTTCGGAAGCTGGACAGTCCCGGCTTCGCGGGTGTCGCTTCTCGGCCAGCGGCGGGGATCATGGCTTCGCTGGCGGACCGAGTACGGGGCAATGGGCGAATAGCTGCTGGGCTCCTGTTCAACCTGCTAGTGTCCATTTGCATCGTGTTCCTCAATAAATGGATCTATGTGCATCACGGCTTTCCCAACATAAGCCTGACCCTGGTGCACTTCATGGTTACTTGGCTGGGCTTGTACATCTGCCAGAAGCTGGACATCTTTGCTCCCAAAACTCTGCCTCCCACCAAACTCCTCCTCCTGGCCCTCAGCTTCTGTGGCTTTGTGGTCTTCACCAACCTCTCTCTGCAGAACAACACCATAGGCACCTATCAGCTGGCCAAGGCCATGACAACGCCGGTGATCATAGCCATCCAGACCTTCTGCTACCAGAAAAGCTTCTCCACAAGGATAAAGCTCACGCTGGTGAGTAACTCCAGCTGCCTGACGCACATCCCTAAACACTTACCTCCTGGACCCCACCTCCTGGACGTCTTTCTCTCTGGGAAATTTGAATGTACATTGTTTAACCTGCGTCACGCTCTTTCCCATCTTCTTGAATCAAATGAGTCATGTTCTATGAGCATGTGAACTTAGGGTTTATTTGGGAATGCAGGGGTAAGAAAGCCTTTGTTGGGCTCTTAGTCCAGAAGGGTGTGCTAGTGTGGGTTTTAGCAACTACTGTTTAATGGAATTTTCAAATTCTGTGATTGGAAAGAAAAGAAAGCTGTAAAGAGGGGTGCAGTGCAGTTCAGTGTATCAGGATATCTGTACAAGCTCAAACTGAGAAACAGCCCTTCTCCCCAAGGGAATCAAACCACAGATGATGAATGTGAAAAGGTCTAGAAAAAAATGTCTCAGAATATGTCTGCAAGGACATACTGCAGAGGCATCTGCATCTTTAAATGAAAGGAGATTCAGTAGAATAATATCAGCACTTAGTAACTTTTAATATTTAAGATCTTAATGCTTTTATTGTTACAGTTACATGTTGTTTAGGCATTACTTTTGTGTTACATTTACTTACCTGTGTGTGTATGCATCCATGCGGTAATTTCTTGCAAAGCACAATGCATAGACTCATTATTTTACCCCAAATTCAAAATAGAACAAAATGTGAGCATCAATATGGAATTATAATATTTCACATGTAAGAGAAAGAATGAACAATTTTCACAAGTGAAAAAAAATTATAGATTTGTTACTTCCCAGATATATGTGTTTATGATTATTAGCCTTGTAAGACACTGTGAAAGGAATATTAAATTTGTTTCTTGAATTTAATCTGAACAGAATTTTACCTCTTTTTCTTTACAGATTCCTATAACATTAGGTGTAATCCTAAATTCTTATTACGATGTGAAGTTTAATTTCCTTGGAATGGTGTTTGCTGCTCTTGGTGTTTTAGTTACATCCCTTTATCAAGTGGTTGGTAATTTTTTTTTTCCTTTATGTACCTTTTTAGCAGATGTCATAAGTTTTGAAGCTGTATCCCAAGGTTTAGAAAATACAGTATAGAGACAATAGACTGTTGGGAAGAAACCATAATTGCATAAATTGACTCAAGGTGAAGAGAAGAAAACAGAGAAACTTGGGTGTGTGATGCTCACCAAATACCTGTTTGTAAGTGTATAATATCCATGCTTAAGAGTGTGAGTTTGGGATGAAGTTATGTTATTTTCTGGGAAATCTTTACAAAACTAGAAGACTTTATTTTAATGGGCCGGGGCTGTAGCTCAGTGGTAGAGTGCTTTCCTAGCATGCATGAGGCACTGAGTTCAGTCCTCAGCACCACATAAAAATTATCAAATCAAAGGCATTCTGTCCATCTACAACTACAAAAAAATTTTTTTAAGGCTTTACTTTCTGAATTCATTAGTTATGTTATTATTTACCCTTTAATTTTAAAGTTTCTGTGAAGAAGTGAGTGCACTTCCAGACATCTGAACAGGAAAGGAAATTTTTGCTTTCATAGGTTTTTTTTTTTTTTGCCTCAAAAAATATGTTGCTATATATTAGCTTTTAATAATTTATTTATATCAATTGAGTTTTTTGTAAAAATGGGTATCTCACTTCTTGTTCAAGAATGCCTGTGACAGCATTCTTAAAAAATTGTTCATGGATCCATTTACTTTATTACCATAAAATCCCAACACAGTCATTTTGTTTCTCATATAGTGGTGAAAAAGAACATGGTATAGGGTGCAGTGAAACAGTATTCTCTCTATACTGAAAACCTTGGTTTGGAATTTCTGGGTGTGCCTGCATGGGGAATCAAAGCCAAAATGTGTAACCAATTTTATTTTTTTCACAGACATCCACTGGTTATAAACGGAGGCATTCTTGTTGGGAATGTTAGGAGTTCAGTATTGCAGCCCTAGCATCTTAAATTCTCTGGTAACGATCATTTCAGCAACGTTGTCATGAAAAAATAGTATAGTCACGAATACATTTTTTAGTAGCAGAGAAGCAGTTTAAACGAAAGATGAGACCAGTGTCATGAAAGGATGAAGCACTCACTCAGTTTTGTTACTTGGCTCCATGATATGCTATGTTTTACTACAGAGAATGATCTAAAGAATAAGGAAATTTAGCTTTGTTAATTAAAAAATCGTATTTGGTACACTTCAGTGAGTATAAATTTTGTTACTAGGCATAGTGAATATTACTATTTATTTTTATTAAATGCATTTTTTGCATTTAACAACATGTATGGATTAAATATTCACTAAAATAGCAAGAAGTTGTATCTTGAATATTAGAATTTCTTGTACTTACACATAATTTCAATACAGAGTACTCATTATGTCAGTATGACCATTTTTGTTCACAGAAGTTTCAAAGCTACTGTAGATTAGAATCAAGGGTTCTATATCTCTAAGGTAGATATTTGAGATGAGATTGACCAAGAGGGGTTGTAAATGTGCAAATGTTCTATTATCAGTAAATAATAGAAGTAATATAATGGAATATAAAGATTTTTTTTTAAAAAAAATCCCTTTTAAAGAAATCTGTATCTGCCCATTGTATCCCAGTGTGTTCTAAGTTATTTCTTCTTCTGCTGCTGGGGTAATTAAAAGGAGTTGAAAGAAGAGTGATGAGCTGTAAACTTCAGTTGTACAAAATAGTTGACTCACTCATTCACTCAGCAGACATCTTTTCTGCTTTATGTTCATCCTTAAGGATACAGAGATGAGCATCAGCTATAATCCATCATTGTAGAAACATGTGTAGACAGCTGGTCACTTCAGCGTGTGAGCCAAGTCCTGAAGAAGACCAAGGAAGAAATGGCAGCCCTCCATCCAGGGTGATGAGGCAAGACCTGAGGGAAAGTTAACAATTTAAATTGAAGGATGCACAGGAGTTTGCTCAGCAGTGAAATATAACAGGTCTTTCCTTGAAGTATGTGTGAAAATACAGAGCCCTTTGGAGAACCTGATTTGTTTAGTGAGGTTAGACTGTAAGTATACTGTGGAAAGAAGAAGCCAAGCAGTGGGTGATACCAGATGGCAGTCTCCTGTCATGCTAAAAAAGTGTCTTCATTCTGCAGGCACCACATAAAGGAGTTTAGGTAGGGGAGTGGCTTGATCATGCCCTTTGTTTAAGAAAAATCACTGGTGGCAATGAAGGGTACTTAAGGGAAGTGAGAAAGGGTGACAGCAGTTAGGAACCTATCCATGCTTCTAGGGGAAGGCAGGAATGGCCTGGACTAGGCAATGGGAAGCTGAAAGATACTCCAGAGACCTTTGGGAGGAAGAACCAGTGGGGTCTGATTAAATGTGAAAGTGAGGAAAGTAAGGAGTATGATCCTTGGGGGAGATGATGGCATTTATTATTGAGGTGACACAAGAGGAGCTCCTTGGTGGAAGGAAGGAAGGAAGCAACTTGATTTTAAAGAAATTCTTGCAGGCTAAGTAAAAATGGCTAGAAAGTTGTGGAAGGTGCTAGGGTAAAAATACTCAAGGAAAGCCGGGAGTGTAACTCTTGCTCTGGGTGTGGTAGAGCACTTACCAATCATGTGTGAGGCCCTGGGTTCCACGCCAGCACTGTGGGGTGAATGGGAGGAGTGGGAGGTGAGAGGAAGGAGGTCAGAGCTAAAGACGTCAGCAGATAGGAAAAAAGATTAGTCCAGGGTATCCTTTGGATGAGGCAGTCAAAGGAGATGGTGCCCTTTGGGAGGCCATTAGAGGGGTTGTGGACAGAAGCCAGGCTGCACTGCAGTGAGGGACAGCAAGGCCCTCCATTCCAGGCAGTCCTGTGGCAGAGGTGGAGGCTGGATGTGAGCCTAGTGAGGCTGGGAAAGGAAAGTTGCATTCTCTTCATCCCTCCATGTTTGCTCACTGCTGTGCCCCCAGTAGCTGGCAGCAGAAGAATCAATTCTTTGTCCTTCATATTCACAGATGACTCTTAGTTAAAACTAGCAGGAATATGGCTCAAATTTCCTGCTCTTTTTTTTTTTTTTGTCTTGCTGAATTTCTATAGACTGAGAAGTTATGTAACAAGATACCCAGACCTACAGGAGAAAAGCTTGTAGAAGTCATTCAGAAGCCTTGCTGTTCTTGCCAGATCTTATTCAGTTTTACTAAGCATTCTTCAAAGCCTCCTTTTTAGTCCTATTTGTGAAGCGTTTTGAGGCCTGTTGGGATTTGAGGTTTTGAGGTGTTATTTCTACTGAATGACAGTATTTTGGGGTTTGTGATTATCCAGTGTACCTGGGTCAAATGGGGCAGGGGTGATACTACCACAGAAAAGACATCCAAAGAGAGGAAACTTTCTTCTGCCATTGATTGAATTTTTTGAAGTGACTGAAAAGACCACACACTTTGGCAGCCAACTGGAATAACCAGGGTTAATCTCCTAGTCTCTGAACTGCCCTGTGCCCCATCTTCCTTTTAAAATTTTTTATTTGGGCCATTTTTAGGAGGAAATGAGGTCTGTCATTGCATCTGTATTCCTGTTTATCCCCTAAATTTCTACTCCTGCCTTAGAAAAAAATCTCTGATTTATATGGTTTCCTATATCCATTTACTTCTCCCTATTTAATAGGATCAGGAAGATAGAAAGGGTTTTTCTTCCTTGTAAAGAATGGAGAGGAAAATAGTTTATCAGAAAATGAATTTGTAGAACTCTTTTCATCTGTGGTAATTAAAGAGCATTCAGATATCCTACTGATCTTAGAAATCTTGTAGAGTAATTAGGAATTTCCTCTCCCCCAGCCCGTACCCCATGTTTCTGTCTGTGTGGCTAGAGTTGCATCGTTGATTAAGTGATGGTTTTCTCTTGTGCCTGACCTGTTTATCTCCTAATTTTCAGTGGGTAGGAGCCAAACAGCATGAATTACAAGTAAATTCAATGCAGCTGCTGTACTACCAGGCTCCAATGTCATCTGCCATGTTGCTGGTTGTTGTGCCCTTCTTTGAGCCAGTGTTTGGAGAGGGAGGAATATTTGGTCCCTGGTCACCTTCTGCTTTGGTAAGTTCTAGCTGTTTCAGTGCCTAAGAAACAGTGTAATAATAATATCTTCGTTTTTAATATATTTTTTTTAGTTTCAGAGCACTATCTCAAATCCATTCTCATGTTTAATCTTCATAATTACCCTTTTTTAAGGAAGGCAAGGTAAGGATTATTTTCCAGACAACAGAATTGAGGCAGAAAAGGTAAAGGGACCTTCCAGGGTCCAGTAGCCAGTCAATGGCAAAACCAGAACTACAGTACAGATCTTATGCCTGGTTACTGTTCTGACCATGCCAGATTATAGCCAACAAATAATTTGGGCATTTAATTTTATTGGCTTTCTTTTTATATAAATAGTATGTACTTAGCTGATTATGGTGTTACTCACCTGTATTCCCAGCAACTCGGGAGGCTTAGGCAGGAGGATTGCAAGTTCAAGGCCATCCTGGGCAACTAAGTGAGACCCTGTTTCAAAAAAAAGAGCTAGTGATGTAGTTCAGTGGTAGAGCACTCCTAGGTTTAATCCTCAGTACTAAAAAAAAAAATATATATATATATATATATATATTATTTTTTTTAAAGGGGGGGAGAGAGAGAGAGAGAAGAGAGAGAATTTTTAATATTTATTTTTTAGTTATCGGCGGACACATCTTTGTTTGTATGTGGTGCTGAGGATCGAACCCAGGCCGCACACATGCCAGGTGAGCGCGCTACCACTTGAGCCACATCCCCAGCCCATATTATTTTTTTTTAATGTGCCTCACTCGTGCCAGGCAAGCACTCTACTACTGAGCCACAACCCCAGCACCCCCCAAGATTTTTTCATAGGGGCTGGGGATGTGGCTCAAGCGGTAGCGCACTCACCTGGCATGCGTGCGGCCCGGGTTCGATCCCCAGCACCACATACCAACAAAGATGTTGTGTCCGCCAAGAACTAAAAAACTAAAAAATAAATATTAAAAA